TTGTTTATACTTATAGTAGCTATATTGTTTTCTTTGTTTTGTTATCCTTTAGATTGTTAGAATTCGTAGGCAAATTTGCCTGTGTAATTAACTAATTTTTATGCTTCATCTATTTTTAAAATTTACAATTTATTTAATAAAATTTTTTTGATTTTTGAATAGTTGATTAACTGAACTTTTATTTTAAAAAGTTATTTTATTTATTAGAACTACAAGTTAGTATTAACTTTATATAAAACATATATAATTTTTGTTCGTGTGAATTAAATTTTTATCAAATGTTTTTATCTAATGTAAGAATTTTTAAATATTGATTACAGCAATAGGTATCTTAGACCAAAATTAGAAATTTGGTTATGCTTTATTATTTTTATTAATAAAGTAAAGTAAGTTAGCATGTAAACAAAATCAGTTTAAATACAACTGATTTTCTTCATGCAACATAGAAATTATGTATTACCTGTATTAGAATAAAATACTATAAGTACTGTACAATACCAAATCACTTACCAGAGATAATATGAGATCTAAAACATAGAAAGTAAGTATTTAGTCAGTCTAAAAATAAGTTACCATTTCTTTTTGACAAGTTACTTAATCATAGATTAATAGAAGCTCTTTACAAGAATAGTAATAAGGTCCTAAATAGTGTCAAAGATATGTTGCTAGGTTCTTTAATAGCCTGATCAAAAAGATGAAGAGACAAAAACCTCTGATGAAGGGTTCATGTATACTGTATTAAAAGATTTAGTTTGTCATAAACATCTATTTGCATCAATGATTTCTGTACAGATAACATCAGGTTATGTTGAACAAGTATTTGTACTTAAATATGAATAGTTCTCTCGTAATAACAAACATATAAACCTTCTGCTTGCTGTATCTTTTATCAAATATTTTGGCACAGAAACGATTGGTATATGCAGAAACATCTGTGAGATTAGTACAGCCACTACTATTAATGATAAAAACAACACTGCTAATTCATTTGCTAGTTATAATCACGATATTGGCTTTAATAATGAAAATATATTCACAAACTCAGATAATGAACTAATTATTAACACTTCTCAGTGAATATTGACTGAATAATTTAAAAGTATAGAAACTCATTTGATCAAAAAATACCAGGTTCGTTAAACACATGCTTGTACATTATAATCAGTATTGTCACTTGGTTATTTGGCTGGCCAATAGCCAAATTTTTAAAAAACATTATTTAGCTAGAATAGCCAAATATTTATATAGCAAAAGCTAGTAATATGATTGGCTAATATCATGTAAATTAAGAAACTTTTAGCTGATGTTTAGTTATTGGCCATTAGCTATTATTTTGTTGGCTAGCCAAGGCTAAAAAAAAATTAGTTAGCTACAAAAATTGCTAACACTGATTATGATAATATTTCAATTATACATGTACATACTAATATTTGGTTTATAAATGTAGAAAATTAAAGCATTGGATTGTAATAACTACGAATCCTATATTGCTTGTAGTAAAATTCTGAAGAGACAAAACAGCATTATGAAAAAGTAATTACATTTAAAAATAATATGATATTTATATATCTCTTCAATTATAGCTTACCAAGTAGCAATCTATATGTTTCGAACTAAAAATAATTTTAGAATTATATTCTTGACTATGATTTATATAGTATTATGAATTTACTATTTTACAGATCTG